GTAAATCAAAGGAGTGTTTCCGTAAGCTCTGGTTTTTTCTAATTGTAAGCTCGTGATATATGCATTTTATTATAGATAATTAAAAACTTCCTGCTTACCTTGCAGAATAACGTATGTTTCGCCTCCATTCCCCTTTGTGTTTCCTCGTAGGTAGCTATTTCAAAGAAGCCACACACAAAGAAGCTAAAATGTAAAAATTGAAACTGCCTCCTAATGAAAGAATTTGGAAGAAAAGAAAAAAAGAAAAAAGAAATTTTTTAGAAAATGGAGGTCCAATGAGCATCTTTATTGGGTAAGGTATTTGATTGAGCTCTTTTTGAATAAGGTCTGGAAGGTGTGCTAAAAATTGTCAATAATTTCCCCCAAGAGCTCGGCTTTTGGCTTTGGCAATTGACAATAGTAATTGTTGTGAGTTTTTCAAAATTGGCGCTCTCATTCTCTCGTTTGATCACCACCAAATCCTAAGCAGAAGATCTCGAGACAAACTCGACAAACTCTTCTTTCATTTCACCCGTGAGATCAGAAGTCCTTACAAACAACGACGAAACAAATTATTGTTACTTATTGATTATTTAGAGAGAATTTATGTTGTTAACACAATCATTGTTACATGTCGATCTTGTCGCATGTTGCTGTCGACCTTTCGTCAATTGCTTGTTTGTTTCGAGCTTTTTACTGAGACACCCAATCTTTTACTTGTAAGAGACTCCTGTTTTGCAAACAGATTTATCAAAAAGAAATTGGTATCTAATTGACGACTTATTTGTCGCATTTTCTTGGTTTCCTCAAATGCACCAGCCACATGTGCGGGCACATTGGTTGCGCTTATGGTAGCACGTCATCGCCGTATGGGAACCGAAAGAGTGTTGATAGCAACTAAATAAAAATTTTATATATGCGGTTCGTAACAAGGTTTGTTTACTTAGAGACTCTACTAGAAGAGTGTCATAAGAAATATCAGAACCATTTCGTGGCCATCACTCACTCGGTCTTGTTGGTGGTGTCATGGCAATAACACTCGTTGACTCCACCGACGCGGTAGCAAGCATAGTCTTCCGGACAACGTCCCGCCGTTGCACCTAAATAGACCGATATCACAAAGTACTAATCGGCAACCCTGTAAAATACTTGTGATTCTGGGATTCTAGGTTCTAGGCCGGCACTGTGCACAGTTTACGTTTCTAGTCTTTTTAAGGGTCGAAACTTCTAACTAGAATACTTGGGTTTTAGAGGCATCCGTTAGAAAATTCATACACTAGAAGAATACAGGCACTGTATGTGGTTCATTTTCTAAAGCCATAGGACCCATGTATTTTTAAATGAACTAGAACTGCGCCCCCAAATGCTTTACCCTCTAGACTCAAGCAATCTCTATCCAAGAAATTGCTATTCAAGAACTTTGAAAAACGATGAAACAAGATCATGAGTCTCGAATTAGAATCCTCAATCAAGTATAATACTACACAGAGGTTTTCTCCCTACTCGTATAATGAAACGTACGACTGGTTGGCGGCACGGTGACATAGTCGGGCTTTGGTGCACATTCACCCTCCTTATAATAGCAATTGTTGAGCGTTCCATCAAAGTAGCAGTTGCCGCCCTCGCTGCACACTAACTTGTTGTCGTCGTACTGCTCGTGGCGAGCCTCTGCAAAAAATTTTAGGCTTAAGTGCAGGAATGGGGCTTTCTTGGTTCACTACTGAAATTTAGAAAAAAGGCGGAGAGTTTTTGCAATTCAAAAGTGGAAACGAGTTTATACATATATATGTCCGCATCCGACCTAATTCTTTCTCCTGCAAGTTTTTTCAAATGTAGTTTCACTTTAAGAAACTACTCGCCGAGATCTACTAGATCCTACCAGCCATTCAAAGTAGACATAGGTAAGTTTAGGTCGAATTCCGGCAAACATGTAAAAAGATAATAAATGAAAAAGAGGTATCGCAATTAAATATATAAGAGTAGAACTAACCGCCGTATGGCTGCCAGGTGACACTCGCCGGCAACGGGGGGCAATCGGCCATTGCTTCCTTAAGAAATAAAACGTGGATTTAGCTGCTGTTTACTCTTTTAAACTTATTCTTAGACTGACCCAACGAAACTTTATCCAAAACTCTTCAGAAAACTTTCCAAACATTGGGCCACGCCAAAGCCAAATCCAAGAAAGAAAGGAGTGTTGCTTGGCTTTTTAGTTCTTTTTAGGTTTTGTATACGGATTCGAATATCCAACCTCCGACATGTAGCACTGATTCATCGATCCATCATAATAGCAATGGAGTCCTTTCTTACACTTGATTCCCGCTACACTGCCATACGCATCGTAATAGGCAGCTGAAAGGGATCGGCCGTTTTTTGCTTAAAAATTACTAACGCTCTTCCGGAGCCCAGGTGATGGTGGCGGGTAAATCAGGGCAAAACGGCTCGTAGTCCTGAAAATTTTATGCTATACAACAACAAATTGGTGATATCGTGGAGTTAACCTTGGTCGGATAGCATTGATTCTTCGTGCCGTCAAAGTAGCAATTCAGCATACAACAGGGGCATCGATAGCCGCCATAGTCACTTTCCGTGGCTTCTGCAAAGTTTTTTGTGTTCTTTTTGGGAAAACCACGGGCAATGAACAAATTTGTTCTTTAAGTTCTGTTGGGATTCGATAAGCTATATTCTATATCCTAGCAGAAAAAAAGGAAATAGTCCAAGTGAGTAAAAAAAGTCGAACCTTGAACTGGCGGCCAGGTGACATTGGCTGGCACGGCCTGGCAGTTCCCCGCCAATGCCTGAAAAGATTTTGTGAAACAGTTTTAACTACTTTCAACGGTTTTTGCTTTGCCATTCCTCTCGGCCAATCAATTGACATACGCCCCTTTAAATTCTAGAGATCCTTAGAAAAGGGTCAATTGGGGAGTAATCTGGATTCAAAATTTAAAGAAACCTGATGGACGATGGAGCTCAGAAGGAAGAGAATTGTAATCGACATCTTTTTGGTGCTCGACTTCGGGGTATCTTTCCACATCACATCGCCTCCCTTTTATACTCGATTTCAAGCCCAAAAACCCCGAACGTGAAAGGTTTCAGTATTTTGTGATTTTTCGATTAAATTTCAACCAAAACGTGGCTCTTGCCTTTCTATTCAACCTTTTGATCACCTTTTTGATCTCTTGAATACGAACTGAAAATAGGGATTCATTCCGTGAACTTAGAAATTAAAAATTGTACTGTAAATGTAAATGTCATTCCATGTATTCCACAATTTTTGATCACCTTTCGATCAAAAATCGTGCGAATGCATCCCGATTTCTTGATTACTTTTTTTGATCTATTCAGCAAACGAATTGAATGGTGAAGAGATTAATCCGAGAATAGCCTCGATTCAGTTCAGGTCTCTGATCATTTGAATGTCTGGGATTGAATGACATCAAGCACAGGGGCGACTTCGACGAAGGCTATATGCTGGACGTGGTTAGTGTTTCGAGGTTGCCATGATAACTTTTCAATTATTAATTAAAGTAAATAATTTCTTCTTAGATGATCTTTTCAGATGATTGTTAGCTTGTGTATTCTGCATTGAATCTTTAGCTAATCCTTGCTTTCCTCACTTTCGACTTTCTGTTTTCCCTGTTCAATTCTGATAATTCTGGGGGCTCAACACTTTTTAACAATAACAATCTCCATCGAGAATGCACGCCCTTCAAGTTGTTATTTGCCTAAGTTCAGTTGATAATTTTTTAAGGTATTTACGATTACTAAAGTAAGTGACTTTATGTAAATGTGATGTGGGAAAACACGGAATTTTGGAAATAAAATAACAACTTTGGATAAACAACAAAAGTAAGCAGTAAAAGCTTTATTAACCTAGAACTTCTCATCTTCCACATCCTCCCAGGAATCCTCAGTGGCCTCGGAAGTCGGCTCCAGAAGTGTATAGTACCGCTTGCTGAAATTCTAGTGTTTACATTCTAACATCTTCTTGATGCCAGCCAGCCAACCAGACATCCAAGTAGCCGTACAACTCTGCGTGGTCCTCCATTTCTTTATAAAAACGCTCTCGAATATCTTCGAATCGAGGTCGATCTTCGGGGTTTTCCTCCCAGCAAGTCGCTGACGTTTTAAGGCTAAAATTTCTTGGATAAACTCTTCAAGCATCTTAGACTAAAGCCAAACTCCCTTTTTAGTAGAATTACCAAACCAGGAGTTTTTTCTTTAGTTTGAACAGAAAAAAAAGAAAATGGATGAAATCATGGAAAAAAGAACAATCGGAAATCCTCTTTTGCTACCGAACAATGGGAAATCCAAAAAAAGCACAAACATGAATTCGGGTGCTGTGAATGGAATTTTCAGCCGTTTTCCTTCCTTCAAAAGCGGCAACAATTCGGCGGGTTCAACGTCAGACCACGGAGATTTCCCGTAGTTGTACATCTCGTAGAGTAACACCCCAAATGACCAACTGAAAGCGAAAAATTAGTCTCAACCTCTAGCATACTGCAAAACTCTTGATAGTTTATGGATTGTTTTTCCTTCTGATAATGCATTTCATTTACACATTGGTATGCTTTAAATGACTTTGGATACAACATCTCGATATTTTAACTATACAGTCAAACCTCTTTAGTAAACAAACCTCATAGTAACTTCTAGGGCTTTTTTTTCAAGCCGAATGTTGGTTAATCCTAGATGACAAGATTCGTGGCTCGATATCGAGCTTTTTTCTAGATGCCTTTCGAGAACTTACAATTGTGTTTTCAAGTTGTTATTATGAGAGTGGGGAAACACGATGACTCATAGCAGAGCTTAATATTTAAATTTTTTCAAACCAAGCTTCTGGGGCTTTCCTATAGTTGACCGCTTTTAGAATTTTACCCCTTTTATTTCCAACATTCAGTGAAAAATAGCCCAAAATTTGGTTATTCGTAAAGTCTTAAAACACTCCGACAAAGTCTAGCTTCCACTCGCATGAAAACAATAACGACTTATTACAATATTTTTCGTGCTCTTTCACACACTTACACATCGCACTCCGGCGAGAAATCCGCGAATTCGATTGCTTCGGGCGCCATCCATTTGATTGGGAATTTCCCGTCACGTACACCTGCCACCATATCTTTTTGGAAGCGGCAAAGACCAAAATCGGAAAGCTGAAAATGGATTTGAGAGCAACAATGGTTTTGCCCCTTTCAAACAAAACCTTAGCTGTTTTGTCTTTTGTGACAAGCACATTCCTGGCAGCCACATCTCGATGAACGATTTCTTTTGCAGAAAGGAAAACCTTAATATTTGCGTATTCAAAGAGAACTCCAAGAAAATTCAACCAGCGCGTCACTTATTTGCCAACCGATCGGGACAAGGTCGTCGAACTCGAGTGGTGATTCCTGGAAAGAGGATTGAAGTGAGTTTTTTGGATAAATATTTTCAATCAGCACAAATTTGGATTCTTTTTATTATTTTTACAAATTCAAGACTGTTTCCTAAAGCTTACAACTGATTCAAGATCTTGATATAATGGGTGCTAGACATGAGATGATTCCATTTAAACGACTATCAGCTTTGTCCGATTAGCGGATCTGCCGGATCGGATCGGGTAGTTATCCGATCGGAATCCGATCTGGATCCCATGTCTACTGGGAAAGAAAATAGTTTTACAATGAAACGATAGCAAAAAATCAAGGTCACAAAACCAAATACAAAATTATTCAGATTACTACCCAAAGTTTAGGAAATAGTCCCAGGAATGGATATGTGCATGGACCGATTTTTCATTGGATCGATCGATCCCATTGGCGGGTCTGTAGTAGATTGGGTCGGATAGTTAGCCGATCGAAATCCGATCCGGATCCCATGTCTAATGGCTGCCGTGTTAATAAGGTGTCCAATTCTTGGTCCAACCAACTCCCCGCTCCTCACTTCATATTTCAGGTGTTCCGGATCCATTTGTCGGAGGAGTGAGAGTAAAGCGCCGAGTTCACAAATGCCCGTCACAATCAACGGATAGTCGGGATTTGTCGAGCAGCCGACAAGCGAGAGAATATGCGGATGGAAGGGCAACTGTTTCATAAATTCGATCTCCGCCAAGAACTCTTCTCTAAATTTACACAATAAAAATAAACAACACATTTTTAAAAAACCTGTTTGCGTGTGTCGCTTGTTCATGCGGAGATTTCACCGCCACATCGTTACCATCGTTTCCCAGAAAATAGGAAAGCTGTAAAGTTGGAACCAATGTTCATTGGAGAGCTTTTCTACTGAGTGTCTCAAAATTATTCGGAACAGTGCCATATTACAGCGGTAAAGCCGTCCTTAAAAAAACTCGTACACATTTTTCATAATGTTAATCTCCTATCAAACAAAAAGAAACGCAAAAAAACAGACGATTAAGAAACGAAATCTGAACGGCCATTTGACTTCCAAAAGGTCACATTTTTGCAGTTTTGCAGTTGCAGTTGCAGCGCCTTTGCAAAATGGCGAAATAAAATGGAATTAAACTAAAACCAGGTGTCTGTTGTATGCAAATGAGTCAACGAGTGGCTTAGCAGAAAAGTACCCAATTCTCATAGAGTAAATAATCAAGCTGCAATTCTTGATTTAAAGAAGAATTTGTTTAAAACCCGGCTCTTTTATCGTTCCGGGTAATTTTGGGACACCATGTATATAGCTACGGTGCCTCGCCTGTAGTGATGGATAAATCCTGGCGACTGGGGGTATCCCTTCAAGGTATCCCCGGCGCACGATCGCTGAAGCTCCAGCTCCGAGTCTTTCCTCGAATATCCGCAATTCTCGCGCCGACACCTCCCACACGTCGCCGCTTTGCTGTGGGAAAAAGGGAAGAGCAAGTATGTGCTCTAATACCCCCTAAACGCGTAAATTCGAAAGTAGACTTGAGCTGTTGAGCCCTTATAGAGCCCGAACACTTGTTTTTGAAACAAAAAACCGATTTTGATTGTATATAAGAAAACAGAAACGAAATGAAAAAGTAGCAATTGAAAACAGAAACGGGTTGAGAACGGGCTCAATAAGGGCTCGGGATCGATAAGGGCTCGACAGCTCAAGTCTCTCGAAAGTGAAAGCTTGTTCTGCCATTATTACTCTGCCCGAGGTCGCACGGAAACGTCTGAAGCTCCTCATGAGTTTGTCAGAATAACTGAAATTTCCATTATAAGTGCAAAAAAATACAAATTACACCGTTTTTTTATCCAGACAACGCATCCGGTTGCAATCGAAATCGCCAGAACTCCAAATATGCCAACACCCAACCAAATCCATATGGAGTAATGTGCAGAACTTTTAGTCCCATCAGTATCTTTAGTAGGCACTAAAATATGTTTTATAACACAAGAGGTCGGCCATAACTTATCTCATAACGTTCTACTACAGTACTTATTTACGGTAACCAGTTTTAGGTATCTTTATTACGTTATATCGAGGTTTATGTTTAGCGAGTTGCTATATATTGGGGTTCGACTGTATGCTGAACCAACCGTTTTCCTCAATTCGAACCATCGCGAGGGCACCCTGCCGCTGAGTGGACTCGTTGGGAGCCCAGTTCAACTGTAATCATCTATTTGAAAAGCAAATTAAATTCACTTACAATAAAATTGCTGATCCCGCTCAGTGTAAAGTTGGTCATTAAACCAATGCTAAAACGTGGCCCAGTGCCTGCTTTCGTGAATGTAAAAAGAGTCTTACCTCTCATTAGCCATGGTCTGATTCTGCCCATCTTTTGTCCATTCATAGGAGAGTTCTCCATCATAGAAATTCTTCACTTCCACTTCCAAGTTCAATAGTAAAGTACCGAAAATACCGTATTCTCGCTAATAATAGATTGATCTACTATTTTTCCGTGACCCCCTGGACCACTCGACTATTAGAGACAACATATGAATAATGACGTTCAATATTAATAATCGATAATGACGATCGAAGTGACGCATTCCCCTTCAACTACTCAAATTCATCAAAACAAAAATAAATACAACAATTTCTTTCTACATGTTTTGAACCACTTTGGTCCTTCAAATTCAAATTACGCAAACCCAAAAATAACTAGCCAGCAAGGCTTAATAAGCCTACGCCAACGAGGCTCTTATGAATAACGGAAAAAAACTTTAGAACTATAAATGTCAATTTAACTACTATACTATTGGCGTTGATCCGTTAATAGAGAAAATATGGTGTGATGAAGCGTTTACTCTGCTTTTAACACTACAAATCCCTACCACAGAATATGCGATATGTGAGCGGATGGTCCTTGCTGAGCGGATCGTCTGGTAAACCTTGATACCCTGACGTCGCAATCATCTTCTCACCCAAGGCTCCGTTACACACCTCGTCGTTGATGTTGAAGTGTAAAAAAAGCTCTTGTTACTTATTGTGGAATATTATATCAGATACTATTGAAAAAAGATATTGGATTTTGAGATTTTCAAGGATTTTGAAAAAGATGAAAGGTTCGGAATCTTAAGAATCACCTTTTCTATTAAATATTCAAAAAAATCAGCCAAAAATATGAGAAAAATATTTTGTCAGAAACCTCACAAGGGAGTACCACATAGAGGAAATTTAGAAGAATGTTCTTTATTACCATTTGGTTCGATCGACTCAAGGACCAATTTTGGCGAGCATCCGGCTGGAATCTCCAAAGTGTAGGCACTGTTGAGGAGGTACTGCTCGTAAAATGGCTCCGACTCACTGGAATAGACATGTCAAACCAATCCCAATCTAATCCTCCAACGCTAATTTAGAATCTCGGATGGTAATTTAGCCTTTTGGATGGTAATGTTGGATTGGATTGGAATTGGTTTGACACGTCTACAATGAAATCAACTAAAGAATGATTCTTATATGGACGAACTCGAATGTCATCAGATGATAAGCGATATCAGTGGATTCTGGGCGAAATGATTGGACTTCGAGAGAATATTTGCATTTCGGATTGCTCGGTATCTATAGAACTCAGACAATTCAGAACTTCGAGAAAATTAACTGAATAGAGTGCACTTAGGTGTTGTGGATGATTTTCTCCAAGAATCAGCGTAATCCAAAGCGGATTAGCCGACTTTTCAAACTGAATCCCCTGGAATCCGTTCGGAAGAGCTTTCAGCTGTTGATTGGCTAAAATTCTCCAAATTTGAGAGTTTGCAGCGATGACAGAAACAAGAAAAGTTACCTGTCATTTGAAGAGGGACTGAAACGAGGAAACCTCCCTTTTGTGTCAAGGATAAATTCCGTGGAGCATCAATGTCCCAAAAAAGTTCAAGGTTTGAATCAGTGGTTGCCATTTTACAACTGATAATGAGAGAACTAGTGGCGATAAAGCTACAAGTACAACGTTGTAAATGGCTATCGAATCGACATGCACCTTTCACCGCAATCAATGAAGTTGTTAGCTTGATTGACAAAAAAGGGGGGTCTAGTAAAATTGCACGAATCGCTCTGAAATTTTGATTTGATAACGAGAATGGTCATACAATATTAGTATTAGAGAGTGGTATTCGGCACTTATTTAGGGCTTTTTTGAGGGCAACGACCAACTATTTTGGAATAGGCGATTGTCCCCCTGTTGTCTCCAAAAGTGAAGCGCACAAAAGTCAGGAGGATTTTTTAAAAATTCTTATTTAATTAATTTAAAATTTTAAAATTAAAGTTCTGATTGACTCACACAAGCATATACAAACTCGATCGTTAGATTGTTGCCTTCAACTGCCTCAACAATGATTGTTTTTTGTTTGGCTGAAATGATTCTTATGCTTCTAAAGTGATTTTGTATGTAAAAGAAACAACCAGCAAGCCCATAAACTTCAGTCGCATGAAAAGCGATGGTCGGCGTAGAGTTATTAAGTTGATAAGTGGCACCAAGTGACGTTGGGGTTTTCTTGACAGTCAACACGAAGCCACTTTCATCCTTGTAGAGTCCAGTGGCCTTCCACCACACCTAAATTTGGTAGAAGTATGACAGCTTAAAGCTTTGGTTCTTCCCCATCACAGGATTCCTAAAAAGGTCGGATCCTTGAAACATATTTCCGAAAAGTTCTTATGCGTAATTTTTAAAACTGCAAATTTACTTTTTTCTTGATATATTGGTACGTTTTTTCTGTATTTACTGAGGTTTTTATTCAAAGCTCTTCAAAAAAATCATGTTACTCGCGGAACCCCCTGCCGATAGGGATCCGATCTTTTTAGGGATTCTGTAATGGAGAAGAACCAAAGCTTTTATTATATACCTTTTGTTTCCTTTGTGGTAAAGCGGTTAGGGCATTTGCCTAGAACTAGGACACCAGGTTTCGACCCACTTATATGAGTGTAGGGAAGGCATGTACCCGAAAACAGGGAAAGGTTTTTCCTGTATATCTTTACTTCCAGTGCAACAGCTACTCAGCACAACTCACCCAAATGCACTTGGCGTCAAAGACCCATGCTTGTTCAGCAGCGTCGATTCTAAAAAGAACTTGATTCCAAAGTTTGGAGTTCATTTGTTTTCCCTGAGAATCATTTATCATACATTTTTCTAAGTAACTCATTTCCGTTTCCATCACAATCCTGTGAATCATAGGTGACGATCGTCAGCCGAACACCATCGATTCGTTGTACGCGAACCGTGAACCTAGTCGATTCCTTCTAAATACAATCAAGTCAGATTAAGATTTGTCAAGATGAATATCCCCTTGCTAATGCCGGCTTGCTAAATAACAAGATAAAAAATTGTTGTCCTGTTCTTTAGCAAGATGGCGTTAGCAAAGGAGCATCTTGGAGCATCCGGGCCCTGGATAGTCTTGAAACCTCAATATTATTAGTAAGGCATAACATAAGTCCCTCTTCTGGAGCTCTGAGGTCAGCGTTGCGGTCGCGGTTAGTGAGTGCCCGGTAAGCAAAAGGTCGCGGGTTCGATTCCATCTTTTTTGATTCCCATCTTCAGCCTGGCTACTCAGTCCAACGCTAAGGTTCAAGTTTGGCAAGATTACTTGAGTTTAATACTAGTCAGGCTTGACTGTACATGTGGATAGTGAAGTAATAATCCCTCTCTTAGAACTTATAGAAAAAATAGAACATACTCCTTTATAAACTTCTACAGGTATCCCGAAGGTTTTTGCTTCGTCAAAGTAAGCTCTTTTCTCGTCGGAGTCACGCATCCACGGATAGAATGGGTGAGTCCAAACCGTGAGACTATCGGGGATCAAATTATTTGCCGCCGTCTCAGCTAAATCTAAAAGCGAAAAGTTTTGAAGTAAAATTGTTATTTTAAGTAATGATAACCAGAGTTTCTTGAGTCGAATAGAAGACAAAAGCTGCATGCGTAGTCTTTTGTGAACAGAGTCGCTGCAGATGTGGTTAAGTAAAGTACAACATTTTTCGCTCTACAATACATTTCCATATTCTCAAATACACACATATGTAATACATCATTATTCCTATCAATAAATACTATGTAAAAATATTAGGGTAACAATGGTGTAATCGACATCATTGCACAATACTCAACAAATTAATACAAGATTTCCGAAAAGTTCTGGGACAGTTTTTATGAAAAAATTCAATTACATGTTTTAAGTTCTATTCGGATATTACATGTAATATACCTTTTAATGCTAAAAGTCTCCTCTTTCTAACGAAATCAAGCATTTATTTTATTGCAAATCTCATTGAAAATTGGCTTGTACCAATTCTTAGAAGGGAATATCACTAAGAATGCCACTGGGGTTGCTTTTTGACATTTTAATGATAAAAATTATGAAAAACGATTTTTTTGGACACCCTGTTGATATTCACGGAAAATTCATCGGCAAGACTTTTAGCCATGATTGCATTTTATATTCACGTTAAGCACAGGTATGACTGACGTATCATCGATTAATCGATTCCTAGTATCCATTTGAATTCCCGGATCGGCGCCCGCAAAATACGAATAGATGGTGCCGTTTATGCAGGTAAGGTTTTCCTAAAAAAAGAAATTTTAGCAAAAGAGTTTGGAAAACTATATCTCCTGCACCGCTCTTTTACCAAAAACTAACAAAAATTGTTTCCATTTCGAATGTTCAAACAATACCTTGAATAGAGGACACAGGTCGACGTTCGAGTTTTGATCAACTGTCGTTAGCATCGTTAACGGTCCAGAATAACTATTGGTGTATCTAAAGTTTTTGCACTACAATGTATCAAGAGTTCACTCTAGATGATAATATCGTAATAAAATTATTAATATATTATTGGGTTGGTGCATTGAAAACTGCGGGACTTTGAACTAAAATTTATTCAACATAAAACCATAAATTCATTCGAAATAATTTCCATTATTATTGACGACTTCTGCCCATTTTCCCGGCAATTTGCGGATTCCTCTTTCGTAGTAGGGTTTTGGTTTTGAATCGAAAAACGTTTGGAGCCAATTTTTGACTGCTTCTTCCGAATCGAAGTGCTCTCCCGCAAGCTCATTACTCATGGCCCGGAATAATAGTATGGGGCATGCGCCAAAAGTTCCCAACCAATGCTGTTTATTTTAGAGCGAGTCAGTTTTGCAACATAAGGGCGCGTGTTGTCAGAGGAACTAGAGGAATAATTAGAGGAAATGTTGAAATAAACAAGCCCCCCTTTCAGTTGGTTCTATGCTGTTGCTTTCTTTATCTGCGAGTCTCGCGAAATAGCCCGCTGTTTTCAATGCACCAACCCAATATACACTATAATATGTATAAATTGAGACATAAACAAG